ATGACCAAAAAGATGAAGAAGCAGACAAGCATTGACTCTCATTTTAAGAGAAAAACTGTTGATTTGAGTTGTAGTCCGAGTAATCCGGTCAATGCAGAAACTGCAATTGTGGAAGTTACTAATACTTCCAAATATTTGGGTTGTTCTAGTCTTTCATTTGATATCAAGAATCTAGAACGTGATCCCGGAAAATGCCCTCAGATATGGGAATATCCTTTTAATCAAAGAGATGAAGTTATTCGATCATATTTGGAGATGGGGCCATATCAAATACATTCTGCAAAGTATCCCCTATCTGATGAGAAGCGTCCTCGAAGATTTCAGTTTTCTTGGTTTCAAAAGTTTCATTGGTTGGAGTATTCCCCCACAACAGATGCAGCATATTGCTTTTCGTGCTACCTTTTTGCAAAACCTATAACTCGTCATGGAACCGATGCTTTCACTATTAAAGGTTAGAGCTGAATAGCAGATTCAATGAACAGATAATGGATCTTCTTACTCTTAGCTGTGCTTTGGATCCTAAGGACTCATATAAGTCCTTTAAAGTTGATGATATCTGTTCTTTAGTGGACAAATACTACCCCTTTGTTTTTATTGAGCAGGAGAAGGTGGGCTTGAGGTTTCAATTGCAACATTATAAGCTCAATGTTCTAAACCATCCAAAGTTGGCGAATTTGTCTACAATGGCTGAACTTTGTCAAGGATTAGCGGAGACAGAGATGTCAAAAGTTTACTTACTTATTGATAGATTGATCCGACTTTTGTTGACTCTACCAGTATCGACAGCAACAACAGAAAGGGCTTTTTCAGCAATGAAAATTATAAAAACAAGGCTTCGCAATAAAATGGAGGATGAGTATCTTGCAGACAACCTTGTTGTTTATATTGAAACAGAAATTGCTAAAACTTTTGACTCAAAAGCCGTGATTGAGGAATTTATCTCGTTGAAGGAGCATCGAGCACAATTCTAAGGTATTAACTTTACTATTTTGTAATAATATATTTGTCTCTTCTTCTATTTTTTGCCTATTGTGTACTATTTTAATGCTTCATTTTATTATTATTGTATAAAGGTTATAACTTATAATAATGAGCAACTAGATTTTTTTTCTTTAAATTACCGCCCCCCAATGTGAATTTCCTGGGTCCGCCCCTGACTGCCATCCACAGCGTGAACACCAAGTGTTTCTACAGAAGATCCCTCAGCACCCAGTGCCGGGGGGGGGGGGGGGGGGGGGTACACCACCGTCAACTTTCAACAAACGGAAGAAAAAATACCAAGTGTTTTCACAGAAGACCCCTCGGTACCAAGTGCCGGGGGCCGTGCACTAAAAAAAAAACCAAGTGTTTTCACAGAAGACCCCTCGGTACCAACTACCAAGTACCGAGGGTAGACACCCCAATCACCTACGACAAATGAAAAAAAAAGAAAACACCAAGTGTTTTCACAGAAGACCCCTCGGTACCAAGTGCTGGGGGCCGTACACCGGAACAAACACCAAGTGTTGTTTCTAAAGCTGTACCCCTCGAGGACGCCTATACCGAAGGTGCCACCTATCGGTGCTGGTAGCACGTAGTGCCCCCGGCCATTTGCAACCAATGTGCAAATGAAAACCCTTCCCTGAAACGCTTTCCGCGTCACTACCCCAAGGGTATGACAGACACGTAATATGCCCAGGATTCGACTTTCAAAAACGGAACGCTTTCCGCGCCATTTCCCCAAGGGATTGGCAGGCATCTAAAATGCCGAGGATTCGATTTCCAAATCGAAATGCTCCCCGCGCCACTACCCCAAGGGTGTGGCTGGCCACAGACTACGTCTGGCGCCGAGGGGACGACTTTCAAAACTGAGGCGCTTTCCGTGCCATCTCCCAAGGGGAGGCAGGCTACAAACCATATCTTGTGCCCAGGAAACGACCCTCGATCCTCTCGGAACTCGGAAGGTCAATCCGAGGGGGGAGCTAATGGTGTTGATGGATAGTCTACCCGGGGGTATATATCCTAAGGGTTATTGCGGGGAGTAATCTAGAGAGAAGTCAGAGCAAGTAATTATGGAGAGAGAGTGCGTAATATAAATGTGGAGCGTTTTCAGCGTGGTTACAAATGGGGAAATGGGGTGCTATTTATAGCAGCAATAAATGCCGGGCAGGGACACGTGTCAAGCGCTCATTGGCCGAGGGATCACCTCAACTGGTTGGCGCTGGCAGCCGCATGTGGCCGCATTTAATGCGGCTGTTGGATGGGACATCTGTGCGGGGTACGGTGATCTGTACGCATGTGAGGCGGATATCTTGTCGAGTGAGATGCCTTCGGCCATGGAGTAGTAGCCGAAGGCTCCTCCAACCGAGGGCACCCTGGTGCCGAGGGCTCACAGTACCGAGGGCTACTGTTTTCGCCGTTTTCTCCCAGTTTCTTAGTTTGCTTGAGAGACCCGTCCTGTGAGAGTTTAGACCCTTCGGCCAGGGGGCCGAAGGCACCCCTGGCGCGTAGTGCGGGCTGCTTGGTACTCTGGGCGCTGTGATTTGGGCCTGTTGGGCCTTCGATGGAGTAGTAGGAGTCTGTGGGCCGGGGGTTCCCGGGCCATATACTCCATCAGGAGTCCCTCACTCCTTTTGCCGAAAGGTACTTGAGGGAAAAGGAGTAATTTGTGCCTGCCTTTTGATGTTGTCCTGTCGTGATCTCTGAAGTTGGTGAGGAGTTGTTGCTTTTATGTCCCTGCCGAAGGCAGTCCCTCAGTTACCCACATGTCGGGACTTGAGGGCTTGCTTTGTTGTTTGTTGGAATTTCACAGATTTTGTAATTTAATGATTTTCCCGAAGGGGTCCTCCAGTCCCTCACTCCTTGAGGCACTTGTAAAGTGGTGAAAAGGAGTAAAGTAGTTACGTTGCTGTTGTGGGCCGAAGGCTGACGCTTTTCGTTTCATTTTGGGGGGATGCCTCGTTAAAAACCTCATTAGGAAAAACCCTTTGGGAAAAAATCCTAATGAGGGAAAAAGAGTGCACCGAATTCCCCCAATGATGAATCGAAAATGTCAAACCTTGGTACAAAGTGGAGAATTATGGGAATGCCGAAGGCTCTCTCCTCTGAGGGCTTCTGTGTTGATTAGCCGAAGGCTTGCTGTTGATGTCCTGGTGGTGCCGAAGGGGAGCCCCTCAATCCAGGGATTGAGGGCCTGCCAGATGAGGGCAGCAGTGAAGCTGTTACCGGGGGGGGGGGGGGGTCCGCTGTTTGTTGATGGGTTGGTGATGAAGATACCCGAGGGCTCCCATTACCTGCGTGCCAGGGGCCATCCGTCAATGGGGCACACCCCGGGGGCTACCCGGTTTTGCAGTGCTGAGGGGGAAACCCCGAGGGGTGCCCTAATATGCAGCCCTAGGGATCTGAAGGGGTGATCCCGAAGGCGTGTGTAATGTGCTGTGTGGGCACAACCCGGGGGCACTTCTGTGTGAGTGCACCCGGAGGTTATCTTTGATGAAGTGGAGTGAAGTAGAAAACCCGGGGGCTTCCAAAATATAGCCGTTGGAAATATAGCCGTTGGAATATGTAACGACGGGATATAGCCGTTGGGGGGGGGACACGTGGCGTGTGATGGCTGGCTGTCCGTGGGCGGCGTCACCGGTTGGGCGAAGACGCGGTGAGTAATGATGGCGTCCATCCGGAGGCCCGGAACCCAGGCCCAAGCCCAGATTCCAGCGCCTATAAATACCCCAAGGCCGGGCATTCCTCTGTGTGCGAAAAACTTGTTAGCGAAGCTCTGCCAATTTTTCTAGAGAGAGAAACAGCAGCCCCCGGTTGAATCCTCTGTTCTTAAGGTCAGTTCTCCAGTCACCCTTCACCTCTTAGCTACCTGTACTGCGCCCCTAGGCTAGGAGATAGAACATTTAGAAAACACTAGTTGTACGAGCCTTCGAACTAGAGCGCGAATGTCGTCCGAGAGTGATTCTCAAGATATCTCGAGGACGCCCTCGATGGAAGACGAAGGCATATCTGACGTGGAGTCAAGCAGTGGTCAACCCTCGGATGGTGGTGATGCGGCCCTGGCCCGGGAGGTCCAAAAGGAACTCACTGCGGAGGTTGAAGCCGAGGGCTTCGAGCAGGAGTGCGATGATGAAGACTTAGCCCTCGCCTGGCAGACAGCGGAGGATGAGGCACAGAACGAGAGCTCGAAGGTTACGATTGCTGTTCTCCCCCCTCGGGGTTCCGGGGAGGCCAGTAGCTCGAGGCCGTTGGATCCGATACCTCTGAGGGCGGTTTCCGGTGTGAAGAAGAAGAAGGCCGCTACCAAGAAGAAGGAGAGGGCCGTCGATCAAGGAAAGCCCGTAGACATGCCCGAGGGGTACAGCTGGCTGAACACTGAGGCCCTCGAGATCAGGTCGAAGGCCGACAAGGCAGATCTGTACGTGACTCAGCTGCACGTGGGGCCCTCGGCCGAAGTGGTGGAGCCAGGTCCCGACGACGTGTTGTCCAGGGCGCCCGAGGGGTGTATTGCTATTCACGTCCTTTCGGTTTCCATGGGACTCAGGTTCCCTCTGCACCCATTCCTCCGGGAATATCTACGGTTTGTTGGCTTGGTCCCCTGCCAACTCACGCCCAACAGCCACTCCTACATTGCGGGGTTCCTCCAGCTCTGCAAGTCCCGAGGGGTGAAACCCAGCCTGGATCTATTCTTCCAGAGCTTTAATCTGTGCCGGGGGGGGGGGGGGCACGAAAACGGCGAGGGGTACGCCAACCTGCAGCAGATTGCCCGCTTCAAACTATTCTCCGATGCTCCTTCTTCCAACAAAGGATGGAGGGAACGTTGGTGCTACGTGAAGTTGGATGAGAGCCCCTTCCCGAGGGAGCTACGTGACCGATTCCGAAGGCACGAAAAGATCCGGAGTGCCACTCTTGAGAAGGACGGCCTAAAGCTGGCCAAGTTCCCGGAGGGGAAAGACAAGAACGTGGCGATCAAAGACTGCACCCTCGAGGAGGATTTGTACACCCTCGGGTTCCGGAGGTACCGCTTCATAGGGGAAACCGATGAAAAGTACCCTCCCTTCAACAAGGCCTTCGGAGGGGCCGGAGGTAGGAGCCGAGGGCTTTAGAATTTTGTACTTAGTTTTTTTTTCTTTTTCTTGGATGTTATCGTCCCTTCGCTTAGACCCGTCGGACTAACCCTTTGTTTCCTCTGTGCAGGTATCCCCGTCTCCATGGTGAATGTAAAGGGCCTTGCCCGTTTGAAGAAACAGGACCCGAAGGGGTCGGGACAGGGCATCCAGAAGCCCGCCACCGCCCTCTTTAAGAAAGCCGAGGGCGATGCCGCTGCCGGCAAGAGGAAGGCAGTGGCCAAGGGGTCCCCCCCGGCTACCAAAAAGCCGAAAAAGGGGGATGTCGCCGAGAAGGATCCCTCGGTCATTATCGCTGATGAGCCCCCCGCCTCCGGGGTGCAGGTGGAGAAGCTGCCGGTTGGAACGCCAGCGGGGGCAGAGGAGTCGCTGCCTGAGATCCTCACAGTTGCGTTCCCGAGGGGTATGTCTTTGGCCAGCGGCGCCGTCGACCCGGGGGCCATCCTGAGGGGTATGACCCCTGAGACGGATAGGGCTGCCCTCGGGGCCTACAATGATGCGGCCCTCGAGGACCACATTCTCCGCTCCTCCCTCTCTGTAAGTGTTTACCTGGCTTTCTCCATCTTCTCCTTTGATTATTTTTGTGTGATTGCCTTTAACTGTTTTTGTTGTTGCTCTGCAGGCTTGCTTAGCCCTCGGCGAACAGGCTCGGAGGCTTCAAGAATGGCGCCTCCACAGAGCGGAGCAAGACTCCAGAATGAGGGAGTGCCTCCTCAAGAACCAGGAGGCAGTGAAGCTGGGGGCCCAGCTAGAAGAGGAGCTCCGACAGATGAGCTTGAAACTGGAGGCTGCAGAGAAAGGCAAGGCTGATGCTGAGGCCGCTGCCAGGAGAGCTGCTAAAGAGGCCGAGGACTCCAAAGCGCTAGCTGTCGCCAGGGCTCAGGAGGAGGCCGTTGAGGCCTTTGTCGCCGAGGGTTGGAGAGCCGAGGGGCGCAAGATGTGGGTGTCCTCGGTCGTGGAGGCCTGCGTTGAAGAATGGGCCGAGGGCCCTGGGTGGGAATGGATGGCCCGGAAGGGCAGAGAGTACTATGAAGCCGGCGAGTTCTTCACCCAGGCCCTCATCTACCGGAGGATGGCCCGGCATTTGGGCATTGAGCAAAAGGACTTCTCCCCCTCGGCGTATGGTCTTCCCCCTTGCAGCCTGATGTTCGTGAGCCGCTCCCGGAAGGTGTTCAGAGGCCCGACCTTGAGGACACGGTGTTGAAGAATGAGGCCGAGGACGACGCTGTCGAGACCGGAGCGGAGGCATCATCGAGGCCGGCTGTAGAGGGCGCCCCAGTGAACGATGCTGTCGTAGTTGTGGAATGATTTTGTACTTAGAAATCTTTGAACATCTTTTGTAATGAACAACATTGTTCCTTCGGCTTCGGCCCATTTGTAAATTCACACTTACTCTTGTTTTTGATGAAATGCATGCTGCCTCCGGGCTTTTCATATTCGAATACGCCTTATGTTTTGAATGTATGCTTTCTCCTTTGAATGTATGCCTTCGGTATTTTTGAATGTATGTCTAGGACTTAGAATACTATCTGATCGTGGCTAGCCCTTAGGAGCCTTCGGTAGTTGGGCACCCTCTGCTGGATATGCGACCGATGGTTCGGCAGCAATTAGGACTTGGAAAATTTTTCTAAGTGTAGCACACATTAGGGCCTTCGGGTGTTTGCAGTAATCCAAGTCCTAGGACTTAGAAAAATTTCTAAATGTAGATTTCCCCTTGAGAGCCTTCGGGATATGGCCTCCCTCCCTGATGTGTGAATGTTGGGCCGAGGGCCCAATGCACAGGACTTAGAGATTTTTGCAAGTGTAGTATGCCATGTTGCCTCCTGCTACTGTGGAGCCCCACCTGTAATATTGAATAGGCCGGGGGCTAATTCTTTTAGGACTTAGAAGATTTTCTCGAGTGTTGATTCCTTGTGAACTGTAGCCCTCGATTGACAGGTAGCCTTCGGCAATTGGGTCCCTCGAGATGAGGGTGAAATATGTAGGACTTAGGAAATCTTCTAAGTGTAGAGTTTCCCTCGAGAGCCTTCGGGAGGTGGCATACCTCCATGATGTATGAGTAGCTGACCGGGGGGAAAGCATGTAGGACTTAGAAAATATTCTAAGTGTAAAGTCTCCCTTGGGAGCCTTCGGGAGATGGCATCCCTTCTTGATGTATGAGTAGCTGACCGGGGAAAACATGTAGGACTTAGAAAATATTCTAAGTGTAAAATCCCCCTTGGGAGCCTTCGGTAGATGGCATCCCTCCTTGAGGTAAGAGTAGTTGACCGGGGGGGGGGGGGGGGGGGGGGGAAATACATGTAGGACTTAGAAAATATTCTAAGTGTAAAATCCCCCTTGGGAGCCTTCGGTAGATGGCATCTCTCCTTGATGTAAGAGTAGTTGACCGGGGGGGAAATACATGTAGGACTTAGAAAATATTCTAAGTGTAAAATCCCCCTTGGGAGCCTTCGGTAGATGGCATCTCTCCTTGATGTAAGAGTAGTTGACCGGGGGGGAAATACATGTAGGACTTAGAAAATATTCTAAGTGTGAATTTTCCCTTGGGTGCCTTCGGGTGATGGGTGCCCTCTGATTCCACATCACTTTGCGAGATGCCCGGGGGCTACTCGTTTAGGACAGAATACCTCCCTTTTTTAAGTGTTGTTGTATTGCACGGCCTTCGGCCACCATGTTCCCTTGGCTGTAATATTGACTGGGCCGGGGGCCCAATCTTTAGGACTTAGAATTTTTTCAAGTGCTGCTTCCCTGTGTAGCCTTCGGGTGCCCGGGGGCTGCTCCTTCAGGACTTAGAATTTTTGTAAGCATAAATTGATGTTGAATCCTGTTGTTGTGAAGAAAGCCAATGAGGAGTGTGTGCCCTCGGCATACGATTTAAAAGTTGTAGAATTTGACCCTTGTCATGGGGAAAGAGCCCTCGGTATTTGTGCATAACAGATGCCTTCGGTGTTTGTTTGAAGTACCGTTTAGTGGACCTTGGATAGTCCAGTCCCTTTGTATTGTTGAAGCCCTCGGTGTTTCCTGATGATATTTCCTTGAGTAGTATCCTTCGGGAAATAGGAGTCTTCAATTACCGGAGGTGTGCCCGTGGGGAGCCCTCGGCATGTTGTGATTTTGTTGGAGTGTACTCTTTGATTTCTCGCTGAGTCTACTCCCCTTCACCTTTTTTTTTTTTTTTTTTGGTTGGTGGTGAAGGGAAGGCATCAAGAAACTTGGTTTCTTGGTAAGGCTGGGCCTATTAGGAGACCATCAGAATACACCAATGGCTCTCCTCCCTCGGGTTAACCTTCCGAGTGCCGAGGGGATCGAGGGACGTTTCCTGGGCACAAGATATGGTGGTCCGTAACCTGCCTCCCCTTGGGGGATGGCGCGGAAAGCGCCTCATTTTTGAAAGTCGTCCCCTCGGCGCTAGACATAGTCTGTGGCCTGCCACACCCTTGGGGTGGTGGCGCGGGGAGCGTTTCGGTTTGGAAGTCGAATCCTGGGCATTTCTCGTGCCTGTCATACCCTTGGGGTGATGACGCGGATAGCGTTCCGTTTTTGAAAGTCGAATCCTGGGCATTTCTCATGCCTGTCATACCCTGGGGGTAGTGACGCGGAAAGCGTTTCAAGGAAGGGTTTTCATTTGCACACTAGTTGCAAATGGCCGGGGGCACTACGTGCCGCCGGCACCGATGGTGGCGCCTTCGGTATATGCGTCCTCGTGGGGTACGGCTTTTAGAAACAACACTTGGTGTTAGTTTCGATGTGTAGCCCCCGGTACTTGGTACCGAGGGGTCTTCTGTAGGAACACTTGGTGTTCTCTTTCGTTGTAGTTGATGTAGGCGTCTACCCTCGGTACTTGGTACCGAAGGGTCTTCAAATGAAACACTTGGTGTTTCCCAATAGATGTTTGGAAGCTGTCAGGAGAGCATATCCCTGGCACTGGGTGCCGAGGGGTCTTCTTTGAAACACTTGGTGTTTTTTCTTCGTTTTGATATTTGATGAGGGAGGTGTACCCTCGGCACTGGGTGCCGAAGGGTCTTCTGTAGGAACACTTGGTGTTCTAATCTTTCCTTTTTTGATGTTGAAGGTGGGGAAGTACCCTCGGTACTGGGTGCCGAGGGGTCTTGACTGAAAACACGTGGTGTTTCTACTGTTTGTTGTGGGTGTTGATGGTGTCCGCCCTCGGCACTGGGTACCAGAGAGGGTTCTTCTTGTGGTGAGGCCTAGGGCCTGTAGTCAGTATGAGGGCTTGATGTCTTGAATGTATCTTCATTCTTCGAAATTGGAGGCCTTGGGCCATTGGATAGTATATTCACTAGTTATGAGGGCTTGGCCGCTCTTACATTATTGATAAAATTTAACTAAATGGTGTACATTCCAGTGCCTAGGGACCTCTTTCCCGTTGGGGCGTTTGAGTTTGTAAGTCCCGGGTTTGATGATGGCTACTATGATGTAGGGGCCTTCGAATTTTGGTGCCATTTTTCCTCCCTCGGTTGGTTGGCTGGCTTCCCGCCTCCGGAGGACATAGTCCCCCACTTGAAATTCCCGGGTCCGAACTTTGGCGTCGATGTAGCTTTTAACTTGCCTTCGGTAGTTTTCTGCCCGGATGAAGGCCTGCTCCCGGCGTTCTGAAATGAGGTGCAGGTCGAGGGCCATGTTGCTGTCGTTGACCTCGGGGTCATATTGGATCACCCTTCGGGTAGGAAGGGTGACTTCCGTAGGAGCTTTGGCTTCAAAACCGTAGCAGAGGGAGAAGGGTGTTTCACCTGTAGCGCGCCGAGGGGTAGTGCGGTAGGCCCAGAGGATGTTGTGAAGTTCTTCCACCCAGCCACCACCCTCGGCCTCCAGCTTCTTTTTGAGGCCCTCGAGCAAGGTCCGGTTGGCGTTTTCTACCTGCCCGTTGCCTTGAGGGTAGGCAACGGAGGAGAAGGTGTGTTTGATGCCCCATGCCTCCAGAAGGGCACAGAAGGGGGCTGCCTCAAATTGTGTTCCATTGTCGGAGATGATCTGCTGGGGGACGCCAAACCTTGTGAGGATGTTCTTGAGGATGAAGTGACGGCACTTCGCCTCTGTGATGCTGGCGAGGGGTTCAGCCTCCACCCACTTGGTAAAATAGTCGACGGCCACAATGATGTATCTGTTGTTGGAGGTACCCCTCGGCAGAGGGCCCACAAGGTCTATCCCCCATCGAGAAAATGGGACAGATGTGCTGATGGGGGCATAGTTGACCGCTGGCCTGCCGGGGGCTTTCTGGAAATGTTGACATGCGGTGCACCTCCGGGCAAGGTCAGCACAATCCCTGGCCATGGTTGGCCAGAAGTAGCCCTGGAGAATGAGCCTTCGGGACATGGAGAAGGGTCCCTGGTGAGCTGAGCAAGTGCCACTGTGCACTTCCTCCATTGCGACCTCGGCTTCATCTGGATGAAGGCACCGAAGTAGCGTGCCATTGTAAGATCGTTTGTAGAGCCTTCCATCTTCGATGGTGTAGCTGGGAGCCCTCAGTTTTGCCAGTTTAGCGCGGGCCTCATTCTCGGGTAGCTGCCCTGTGGAG